TACATTCTGTTGGTAATTTCTTTTGTTGTGCAAAATCTCTTTAATATAGTGAGATCTCATTTGTTGATTCTTTGTAGTATTTCCCATGCAATCTGGGTTTTGTTCTTGAAGTCTCTGCCTATACCCGTCTTCAAGATTTCTACCTGTTTTCTCTCCCAGTAAATTTAGTGTTTCCATTTTACTATTTAGATGTTTGATCCATTTTGACTTTAGTTTAGTGCATGGTGACAGACATGGGTCTAATTTTAGTGTTTGGCTCCTTTGTCAAAGACAAGGTGGTTGAGTATGTTTGGAGTTGTGTCCGCATCTTTTGTTCTCTTCTACTGATCTTTAGGTCTGTTTTTTTGCCGATGCTATGTTGATTTCATCACCATAGCCTTGTACTTTAACTTCAGGACAGGGATTGTGATGCCACCTGCCTTACCTTAGTTGCCCAGAATTGCTTTTGTTACTCTAGGTCTCTTCTGGTTCCAAATGAACTTTAGGAATGTTTTCTCTAATGCTGGGAGGTGTTAAATCTGTATAACAGTTTTGGGATTAGGGCCATTTTTAGTATGTTGGTTCTTCTTATCCGTGAGCAAGGTATATCTTTCCATTTTCTGATTTCTTCTTTGATCTCCTTTTTTAGAGTACTGTAATTTTTGATGTATAGATCTTTTACTTCCTTTGTTAGATTGATTCCTAAGTGTTTCATGTTTTTGATGCTATTATGAAAGGTAACCACTTTTCCTAATTTCTCTCTCAGTGAGTTTGTTGTTTGTGTGCTTTGCTTCATCTTGCAGCTGTTTGATCTGTTTTTCATGGTCCCTTGCTATGTTTAAGGTATCTTTCTTTCAGTTGTCACACTTTTGTTCCACTCTTCCAGATCTGATGTTTTACCTTCACTGTCGTTCAGTCTGTGGTGTATATCATCAGTGGAACTTTAATTTCCTTGGTCTCTGTTTGGGTCTGTTTCATGGCTTCCATCTGTTTCCTACAGTAGTGGGCATTCATGGTTTCCATCAGTTTCCTAAAGTCTTGTTTTTGTTTTTTTTTACCTATGTCTAGATTTATAGGGTGCATTTTTCATTTTGATCTTTTTTTTTACCTGAGAGATTATTTTTTTCTATAACCATATCCATTTGTTTTTTCACTTCTGCTGCTATGATTTCAATTAAGTTCCAGTTTGTGGCATTTTACTTCTTCTGTCTCATTGTGCTCTCACTTCTCCTGGGTGGGCTGGAGGTCTGGGGTTGCAGTTTTACTTCTGTGTCTTGTCCCTTTATTTTATTTTGTTTTATATTCTGTGTTGGTGCTTATAGAGTTCTTTCGATAGATGGCTTTGTCACTAGTATCGCTGCTTCCTTAGGAAATGTCTGTTCCCCAGAGATGTCTTTTAGGTGTAGGTGGGTCTTCATCTTTGTGTCTATCCCAAGAACCTACCTTCCCAGTTTATTAAGGGTAACAGTTGCTGTTTGGCTTAGTGCTCCATCCTTTGTTGCCTGGACTATTGTGGAAGTTGTCACCCCAGACAGTCAGTGTTGCCATATGAGGGAGAAAAACTGATTACAACCTGTATGATATCCTGGCTAAAGTAGTGCAGTTAACAATAACAGTAGCATCAAGCACAGCCTAGCATCTGACCAGCTGTGGTAACTATTAGTTTGGTACCTCTGACCATTGGAGAAGCTCTACAGTTCTATAACCCTGGCCAACATATACCAGGAACTTGTATGCAGTGAGTTTCCCCTTGGAAGATTGATTTTACTGCTGGCTCTGAGGGGCCCCTCAGGTAACAGTGTCTTCCATGCTGGGCTGGGCTTCCCAGCCCTTAAAAAAATTTTGCTTTTGAAGGCTGATTGCAAGTTTGAGGCCACCCTGGGCAACTTAGTGAGACCGTGTCAGTTTTGAGACAGAGTCTAGCCAAGTTGCCCAGGGTGGCCTCTAACTTGCCGTCCTCTTGTCTCGGCTTTCTGAGTAGATTGAATCACAGGCATATGGTACCATGTCACACGTAAAGCTAGTTTTAAACTGGTGTTCCATAAAAGTTTCATGCCGTCATTGTCCACTGTTGTCATAGCAGAGTAATGGCATCTATGCTTACTTGGTAAGTAAAGCACTGAATGACCTTGAGCTCAAGTGGGTTATGTAAAGGAGCATTTGATTCCTAGCCATAACTGGATCATTTATAATTGGTGAACTTTGGATTTCAGTAATTGTAACTGAGCCTTTCAGAGACATAGTATTGTATATCATTTTCATCTATTAATGTAAGTTTTTAAAATTTAATAATAAAGTATTCTGCATTAGTAGATTATATAGACATTACTGTTCAGCTTGTGTAGGAACATAGCATGGCATCTAAAACTGACTCATTCTTAGATTCTGTAGCATGGGCAGGTGTGACTGTAGCTGGTGCTTCTTAGTCCCAAAAGTGTTTTGGCTATTCTTTTTTTTTTCCACATTGTTTTGTTAATTTGATACTTTTAGGGAAGTTTGCTCTGAGGGTGCTCTGTCTGACCTACAGTATTTCATGTCTTTTACCTTTCCCTTAAGTAAAGCATGTCAGATAATTGACTGGAAAAGTGGATAAAAGATCTGGAAATGGACTGTGATAGCCTGAAGCTCTTCTTGTAGATGGAAAAAGTAATTTTTGAACTATTGTGTAATAGCAAACCACCCTAACAAAGAATCAGTCTACATCTCTTAAACCATTGGATTTACTCTCCTTACGGTCAATAAGGCCTTTCCGATATGGTATAGGACTTAGTTCTTGGGGCAGAGACTCTTAGTCACTTTGTCATTGCTGGGACAAAATATCCAACTCACGATTTTTAAAGTAGGAAAGGTTTATTTTGGATTATGTTTTTGAAGGTTTTTGTCCATACAAAGTCAGCTGGTACCAAGGCAGAAACAGCATGGTAGAAGGGCCTAACCAGAAGGAGGTCACTCCTCCCATGGCAGCCAAGGAAACAGAGAGAGAGAGAGAGAGAGAGAGAAAGAGAGAGAGAGAAGGCAGTCTGGGGAAGGAGATACAAACTTTCATCTGACTCCCCTCTACTCCCCTTTCTCGCTAGGCCCCACCTCCTGGCAGCACACAGTCAGGTATGAATGCGTCAGTGGATGAGCACCCACTGGTCAGCACCCCATTTACCTTCCAAAGCCCCACTTTGGAACACATGGTTGGAGCGGGTATTTTCAGTCTAAACATAAGGGGAAGTGTTTTGTGGTAGTTTGTCCGACTTTCTACCTTTTGAAAATTAGACATGCACATGGATAGCTTATATGCTTATATTAGCTCACATCTGGCCTGTTAACTTTAAACTGAAATTGTTCTTTTTTAATTCATGTGATCTGGCTCTGTTACCTTTGTACCATTGTTTGTTAGTTTGTTTGTACTTAACAATGCGACCAACCTATGTTATTATCGTATTTCTTTTGTACCAGAGAAGTACACTTAGGTGATCCTTAAATTTTTGTGTAGTTCTAAACTTCTGTAGTGGTATGTTCCACCTGCTGTTACCACAGACACTTAAGTGACAATATTTTTTCATTGGGTTAGTCCTTTTAATGCTTACCTTTGACTCACCTGATCATTTTAAGAATTCTTAGTCCTTTACAGTGCCATATCTGCAGCCATAACTGCGTAGATGAGTTTATACTTCCTCTTGCAAAGGTTATTCTCTTTTTATTCTCGTTTCCTTTGTCTCTCTAATCTTCAGTCTTACAATCTTCAGTCTTCCCTAGCTTAGAGTTACATAGTAATTTACATTATTTTCTAAATTTTAAATCCAAAATTGTTAGGATGTTTACCAGAATCAAGGTGATCATTCAGCATTTAATTCATGATTATAGAGCATAAGAATCTTGTGTAGGTAAAATCTGCCTTATACTTGCAGAAAGACGATGTATAATTTAGAGAGACAGAGTTGAGGCTTATGACTGTGTTTGGAAGCAGTGACTTCAATTGCTTCAGCACATAAAGGTAGTAAGGTTATTCTCCATTTGACTTGTCCTTAATTCTCTGCCACTCCTGTTCTCACTTTATGCTCTGAGAGTTAAAACTTTAAATTGTAATGCCTAATATTTCTATAAGGAAAATGCTAAGCCTTTTGAGTTTCCCAAATGTGGCATTGTCTCATCTTGTAAAGACCTGCGCCTTTGCAAATTCTCATTCTCTTTGGCTTAGAATTCCTTGAACTGTTCACTCTGACATCACATGGAGATCTATGAAAATATAGATTCTGGTTCAGTAGACTTGTGGCGGAGCCCACAGTCTGCCACTTAATAAGTTCTCAGGGTGCTGATGATTTGTAGATCGTATTGTCAGGAACAAGAATTTGACTTTCAGGCAGACTCAGCATCATGCTGAGCATTTCCTTACTTTCTCCTCTTAATCCCCGTGAGTTCACCTAATTGTTTTTTCCCAGTAATGTCATTATACAATATATAACTTTCTTACACTTTTTGTTATAATTGTTTATTGATTACGTCTTTGCTCATTGGAAATTTTTGTATACAGAGACTGTCTTTCATCCTGGTATAGCAAAAGCCTACCATACTGCTTAGCAGAAAATAGGGTTTTAACAGATGTTGTCAGTTAGGTGGGGTTTTTTTGTTTTGTTTTGTTTTCTTTTCTTTTTTTGTTTTTTCTCCGGTACCGGGAACCGAACTCACGACCTTGCACTTGCCAGGCAGGCGCTTTGCCGCTGAGCTAAATCCCCAGCTCAGTTAGGTGGTTTTTTACAGCCTGTTTACAGTTACATAATCAAATATATTTAGTGAATATTGAGTGGCCTTTTCATTTTAATTTTAGTAAAAAGAAAGGCAGTTATGAATCTGAATTAATCCCCCTTAGTCCTCTTTAGAAGGTTTAAAAAAAAAAATCTGAAATGTGTCCTACCTGAAGGTGGGCTTTAAAGTAATGTTCAGTCTCTATGATACATACAGTATTTCTCAAGATAACTTTGTAGAAGTTAGTTTTTAAGAAAAATAATCACTATTTTTTTTTTTCACCCAAGGAGAAGTACCAATGTCTACCACAAGACGAAAACGTATTATGTTATGCTGTTTACCGTAAGCTGTAGTAAAATGAGCTCGATTGTTGACAGGTATGTTTTTAGAGACTAAAAATTTTTTAATTATGTAGAATTATTTGAAAATTTACTATTAGAATAATGGTCCACATCAGATTGGTAGGATTTTTTTATTTAAACATAATTACTATTCAGTTTCTGTATTGAACAAACATGATATAATAATAATGTACCTCAATATTTTCTAGAACCAAAGTTAATAATATGTATCCTATATTTTAAGTGAATATTGAATCACAGTTTTTAGTCATTTGATTAAAAGCTGCTTGGCATGAAATAATCACAGTTGCAGATGTTTCCCTGGCACCTCTAGAGTCTTTTGGTGCTAAGTCCATCCCTTCAGGAATCTTAGTATTTGTGCCTGATAAGATGCAACTAAAATTAGGATCACTAGTTGAGTTTTAATGCTTGAACCTCACTCTTGTGAAAAGGATAAACTCGATTTCTTAACGTCTAAGACTTGGTTTGTTTGTTTTTTTTATTATAACATCTCTAAAATTTGATAAGCCTAAACAATTGATCGGTTATTTAATTGGTAGCATTGTTTTTCCTTTCTTAGGGGCACAAAAATAATAAAATTATGTCTTAAATTTGATGAAATATAGTAATGTCACTATAATATTACTAAAGTAATATTACTTTATTTTAAATACTGTGACAGTTAAAGCACAAAATATTTTTGTATTTCTAACTGCAGAGTCCATAACATTTTTTTTTTTTTTTTGGTGGTACTGGGGACTGTACTAAGGGATTTGGGTGTGCTAGGCAAGCACTCTACCGCTGAGCTACATCCCCAGCCCTTAATCCATAAGATTTTACAGGGAGATTAAGTAATATGTTGAAGGTCACATAGCTGGTAAGTGATATGCTGGAATTTTAACTTGTGTTGGTTTGTTTGACACTAAAGTTAAAGTGCCTTTAGTATACTATACCATATGATTTGTCCATACAAAAAAATTTTAAGAATTTTGCAGGTACAGTTGCGTGCAGAAGTGGCTGTTAACTTCTGAGGGTAGCTCCCCTTCTTTTGTGTGAGCCACGTAGTGAAGATACATACCCTAGCACCAGTTGTAGTGAATCTATAGTGCACATGCTGCAGTGGGCAGTTTGTATCACTGAAAGCTCTAAGGTTCGCCATCACTGCTCTATCAGAATGTAAGACCTGAATGTCTTATACTCAAGGCAAAATGCCCCTGAGAGGCTTGCCTCATTGTGACCATAGGTTTGGACTGTGCCCTAGCTGAAGGTGGAATCTATGAGAAATCTTTCCTCAGAAAAATATTTCTTCACTGCTGTAGGGATTAAACATGATTTTGGTGTTGGCTTCTGAGTGACTGTACAGAGTATGACATCTAAAGATGACAGCTGTATGTTTGAACATAAAGCAGTGATTATTAGTATGGGTTCCTTATGTCTCTGAATATTATAAAAGGTATGGGCTTTCTCCTCACAAAAAATGCATATTCACACAAAGCCTTTCATAAATTTCTAGGCGTAAATGGAATTCCAAAAATCTAGTCATAGAGCTCCATGAAACAAGATTTGGAGTCTGTCTCAAGAGTGAGTCCAGCAGGCACTTCATAGGCTATTGGCCTTTGTAAGCCACAGAAAGATGTGGCTTGAGAAATGAACAGTGAGCTCATGTAAAGCTTCACAAACCATTGGAAACTATGACATATTACTGTGCCTTCACTGAAGGAGTTAGCCGCCAGCGCTGTTGATGTAATTTATTAGAATGTGCTAGCCCTGGATCGTCCCATTGCGAACCCCGTCTTCTCACTTAGATTTCCCCTCAATGTCCCGACTTCAACAAGTCCTTCCCTAATTGCTCAAACTAATCACTGTCATTAAAATTAACACCTTAAAAAAACGCATTGTCACGCATTTTCACATTTGTTCCTTTCTACTAGAAAAACCAAGCTGTAAGAGAGCAGCTGTAAGTCTTAGTTGCTGCTCTGTAACCACATCCAAAATAGAAGGGTTGTGTACCTGAATGCTGACATTTGTCAGCTGGATCAGTAAATGAATGACAATGTATAAACTGATGTGTTAGATTGTGATGTTAGTGAATAATTTATGGCTTTACAAATATGTCAAAAATTTGTTATGCTATTATAATTATTAAAAATAATTTCAAGCGAACAGTTTTATACAGTGGCAAATCTATTGACTTTCTACAGGTTTTCACTGGTTATTAAAGGTTTGAAACAATATTTAAGCTAGTTAAGTTCTTGTTTAGCAAGTTGCATACATGTACAGCTAAGTATAAATACATGTAGAAAAGTTTTACAGTATAATTAAATATAGCTAAAATTTATTAGAAAACAGGTTAGTGGTTATTGAACTTGATTTATTCAGTCCGTTACCCTAACAGCAGTTGTACACTATAGCTAAGTAGATCCACCTGCCGCTTCAGTGTGGCTGTTGCCTGGTGAACATGCTCTTATTTTGTGTGCTTCATTTTTTTCTTTTAGAGATGACAATAGTATTTTTGATGGGTTGGTGGAAGAAGATGACAAGGACAAAGCCAAAAGGTAGTTTATATGAGATATAAAATAGTAAATAAGTGAAAATACGTAAATTAAATAGCAAATAAATAGAAAATTAATGGTTTCCAAAACTGTCTCTTGTAAGAATTTAGATAATATTAACAAAGTAAAAGAGCTTAAATGATCAGTATGCAATTTATAAGTTAAATACAGTTTTCCTCTGACCTTTTGGAAAAGCATTATACTTTGCTTAAACAAAAACAAAATTTGAAAGTCTGACTTCACAAAGCAGATAACTGGTTCATATTATAAAATGATTACCTGCTTTACAAATTGAGTTTGTCTCAAAAGCTCTTTGTTTACTGGTTACAAATTAACATAGACTAGCAATACTTCATTTAGCACATCTGTATAGAATGCTTACGATTTTTTAGTTGTGATGCCTGAATGCTTAGATGAACACTTTGGGTCCATACCTCAGGGAGGGACAGATGCAGAGTGACTGCCCTCTGTTGGAGACGATCTGGAAGTACAGAGGGTGGGGCCATGAGTAAGCCGGGGTGTAGAGAGAGTTTCGTTTTTAGATTTTTGTTTATGATTTAAAGCTGAAGTTAAATGGTGACTTTCTCCTAATTGATAGTTGTTAATTTGTATTTACACATATATACTTTTATAAAATATTTATAAGGTTATGACTTTCCAAGCCTTGGTAAATATTAGATTAAATAAAATTTGCAGTGTGCATGCAGTTTGTCTTTGCATTTTCATAAAAACATGCTTGTCAAATGCTTGATATATAAAAGCTTCTCTAGTGATAAACTGAGATTATTGCCCAAATTAACAGATACTACTGGAGATGTAGGAAATATTAATTGCTATCTATATTGGCAGCTGTACAGTGTCATGTCAAAACAACGCTGTAACAAATGATTTAATAATTAAATGAATTGTTTAAAAACTGCTTATTTAATTTTTTTCATCAGGGTATCTAGAAACAAATCTGAAAAGAAGCGTAGAGATCAGTTTAATGTTCTCATTAAAGAACTGGGATCCATGCTTCCTGGAAACGCTAGAAAGATGGACAAATCTACTGTTCTGCAGAAGAGCATTGACTTTCTACGGAAACATAAAGGTAATTTTTTTTTGTAAGACTCTCCCTTAAAGCATAATGAATTAGAATCTTGGCACAGATTCATAGAATTGAATATTTCCTCAGCTTTTTTTAAGAGAGAGAGAAACCATTTGCCTTTTTAAGAAGTTCCTTGGTGCAATCTTTGTTTCATTCAACAAACATTTATTTAGTGCCTTCTGTGTACCCTTCTGATGCAGGATTGCGTTCTTGGCCCTTACGTGCCGTAACCCAGGGAGGCAAACACATAGACAGACAGCCACAGTGCAAACGATTACAACATGAGTAGCGCTTATAAATTGTAAACTTGCAGCGGGGATGCAGAGGAAAAGAGTATGTCAGGGAAGGCTTAAAAACAGTTCGTCTCGGGGCTAGCCTGCCTGGCAAGCACAAGGTCCTGAGTTCCATTCCTGGCACCAAAAAATAGAAAAATAAAAGTAGTTCATTTCAACAGTCTTCCTTTTAGATGAAAGAAAACAGCGCTTCACACAGAGGAGAAGCCGTGCACAAATGTGGAGACTCAGGGAGCCTGTGTCTGGAGCATGCGCGTGTTGGAGAATTAGGGGTGTATTTGAAGGAAGGAAAACAGCCAGGTAATGGTAGGGCTTCACATGCCGTTTTAGAGGGTTACTTAGGTCTGTATCTAGGAAATAAGCACTTTTAGAATACTCATTCTTCGGAGAAAACGCCAAGTCAAGGGTCACGACAGTGTACAGGCAGCTAGAGGCTCAGCTCAGTAGCGGAGCGCCTCCCTGGCGGCCCCGGGCTCTGAGCTCAGTCCTTGGCGCTGGGGAGAGAGGAAACGTAAAGAGTGGGAAGTGTTTCGGTGGCAGAGATACTAGACTTAAAAATATATAAAAGGACATTTCCTTTCTCAGGTACAAATAGAAGTGCAGAACTTCTCCAGAGGTGAGGCAGTGAGAAGTGCCTCTCGGTGTCCCCTAGCTCAGAGCGTCACGTGTTACTCGTCTGCTTTATGCTCTGCTACTCTGTGAAATTTTTTTCCCACTTTAACCAGTGACATTACTTGCCCATTCCCAATAAAGCAAAAGGTTTTATCTTGCAGCTCAGCCTCATGTGCATCTCTGTGGAGCTGGAAATTTTGGTTCATCCTCCGTTGGCTTGTTTACATTAAATTGTATCGCTTCTTCCCCTTCTCAAATGAAATTACCACCTTCTTTCTTCCTGTGTTCTCTAAATGTGACATTTCTCAAGGGCTTATTCTTGTGTTTTTGGTCTCTGTCTACTATTTCCCTTGGTTAATTCATACTGTGACTTCAGCAGTTGTATCTCTATTAAACTACCAGTGCTTTATTTTCAGAGAGAAAATTTTCAGCTTTGTATTTCTAGATACTTCTTTTGCCTGTCCTCCCAAAGTCAGTACCTCTAAAACTGAACTCATTTTCATTTTGTCAAGTCACTTACCATTTTATTGACACCACTATCATTACATTTTACCTTTAGAAATATTTTCAGAAACCTCAGCACCTCTTGTTAGAAGGCACATGCCCCTAAGTCAGTGCTGTAGCATTGTAGGAGCTGAATAAATGATTGTTGAATGAATGAAATAAAATGCATATATTTCCCCCTAAAAATAGAGGGTTAATTTTTGCATTGCGTATATTAGTTTTTTCTTCAAAATTGGATATGTAAGTCTCACAAAGTAAAATTTATATTAAATAAAAGGGAAATCTTAAATACTTACTACTCTAAAATAGGCCTATGTTTAAACTTGATTGGTCTTCTGGATTTAAATCCTTTTTTCCTAAGTTTGTGTGACACTTTTTCTCTGTGTGTGACACTTTTTCTCAGTGTGTATGAGCTGAAAAACATGACTATATTCCACAACTCAGTAGCTAGACTTTTTAGTTCATATTACAGCATAGGCATTTACTGTACAAGTTTTTCAGTGACAGTTTAATATGCTGTCTTTGAATATCCGACAATAAAAAAATCAGAGTTCATACTTTTTACTGCAAAATAAAGTATGTCATCTAGAATATAGCCTAAGTCACAGATTTTTATTCTGTCTAGTTGTGATATGACTGCATTTAAAAATAGGAAAATATTTGTAACCTAAGCAATTCAGATTGCATTATTTATAAATAACTCTCTCAACTAGATTCAGGAGAATTGTATAGCAAAATAAAATAGTAATAATTCTAATAAAATGTGTACCCTGCGTCAGAGCTCCAAATTTTGGACTAGCTTCCTTTCACTAAGAACATACAGAAAGACACTAAATAAAGTTACCTTGGGCATATTACTATGAAGGCTTTGCTCAAAATCTTAATTTTGTCTCCCTGATTAATTAAACAGAAGTGCCTAAGCTTGGAAGGAAGCCTTTTGCTTGACAAAGAGCAGGCCTAAGATAGTCACTGTTGAAAGCAGATTGACCCACCTCATTGGCTGCTTTCCTCCAGGCTCACTACTTTCTCTCTCCCTATATCACCATTTGAATGGAACAGTCTTGATTTAATCTGCTTGTTCCTGCTAGTTTTTAGTCATTGTGTCTCCTAGGAAGCAGTCTCAGATTTATCAGCGTAAGAGACTATCAAATATGGAAGCTCCTTAGAAAAAAAGAAAAACAACAACAAAGATTACCTTCTTACATGACCGCAAATGTTTCCTCATATCAAGCAGCACCTGTTCTCCTGCTGTGTAAACCAATAAACTTTAGTCCCTGTCATTCTTATCTCTAACAGGAATGGACAGAGAGAAGGCAGCTTGCAGGATTTTTGTGCTCCCCCACTGGTTGGAGTATACCACTAATGTGTCGATCTGTTTACAGAAATCACTGCACAGTCAGATGCTAGTGAAATTCGACAGGACTGGAAACCTACATTCCTTAGTAATGAAGAGTTTACACAATTAATGTTAGAGGTATGTGAAGATTTGATTTTTGAAAGTTTTTTTTCCTCCAAAAAAAATCTCAGGAGCGTGATTAATTTTAGTGTAGTTTTAGCAGTATATGGGAAAGTTTTTAATTAAAATGTAAATGTAATAAGCTGTGTATGTGTTCAGTTAAAATTGATCAAACTATTGTAAGCAAATGATACTGTGTGATAAGATAGCACTGAATTTCATATTTTCAGTATTTGAACCTTTTGAGATGCTTAATAAAAGTCAGAAACTTGTATCTACTGGGTTTTCCACCTGAGACTATTCCAACTACTTCTAACAAAGAATAGAATATATTTTTAATCCTGTTAGGTATTATTAAATGTATCTATTTCAATCCATGTGAGCTGCAATAAACTGGTTAGCTTGTGGAAAACAGATTTATTTCTCACAGTTCTGAAGACTAGGAAGTCTTTTTGATCAAGGCCCCAGCAGACTTCGTGTCAGAGTTCTTGACTCCTGGTTCATGAATAGTATGGGATGATGGTATCCTTCTGTGGCAGAAAGGGCGGAAGCGCTCCCTGCGGCCTCTTTCATCAGAACACTAATCCTGTTTATGGGAGTTCCGCCCTCATGGCTCAGTCACCTCCTAAAGGCCCCACCTGCAAATATAATCACATTGGGGATTAGGTTTCAACACAAGATTTTGCAAAGGAACACTCTGTCTACAATGGGTTATTTTTTAAATGATATGTTAAGGGGCCTGGGATGTAGCTCAGCAGCACAGCACCTGCCTGGCAAGCGTGAGGTCGTGAGTTCAATTCCTGGTACCAAAAAAAAAAGAAAGATTAATAGTATATTATAATCTTCCTAAAATAAAAATAATAAATGAAATACTTAGAAAATCTAAAGAAGTGAACTATACATTGAAAGGTAGCTGTTCTTTAGAAGTTTTTTAAAAGGAAATGAGCACATGTTTTTCTGTGACCAAATTATTTTTTAAAAACAATTCAGAACATTTTTGCTTTTATTGCAGGAGTTAATATCTCATACAACCTATTAAAAAATTTACAGATTTTGAATCATTACTGCCTGCCAATTTTACTTCTGTACTTTTTCTTTCCCATGTACAACAGCACGGGTGTCATCTGTGTACACAAAGTATGCAGAATTTAGTGTCAGATTTTCATGAAAATTTATAATAGGAAATGGGTGGTTTACTTTGGAGGTAACAGGGACAAGAAAAATAAGTACATAAAAGAAAGTAGACAAGAAAAGAATATAAGAATGCAGTTAAGATGAAGCATATAGAAGTTGTTAAATGGTATATACTGGCCTCTATCTTATTTGCTTGACTTTATTATTTTAGTCTTCAAGCATCCAACTATTATGTATATAAATGATATATATGTAATGGCTGTGTCTCAGGTTATCTTTGTATGTCTACTAAGGTCGGAAGCCAGGTAGTTTTTTTGCAAGTTTAAGAGGTATTTTTCTGTTTATACTTTAAGTAGAACAGTTCACTGCTGGATAAGTAAGTGTGTATTCAGCAGAAACATTAATGAGTGTAAATTTGTTGGAGTGTATATTAAATACCTAATCTTAGACTTTAAAACCGAAATATAACTGGAGAGTTTTCATGTACTCAGTGAATCCTCACAACCGTATTAGGAAGTGCTCAGTCACTGGTATCTGTGTCAGTAATAAGCAGTGTTATGAAGTGGACGTAGTCCAAGAAGGGAATGAAGGAACAGAGGGTTGTGAAACTTGCCCAGAGTACCACAGCTTGTAAGTGGCTCTGCTGGGATCCATTACAGGCCGACTGGGCCCAGATCTCATTCCCTCAGCTACTGTGCACTCTGCCTCTTACCACAATTTTTTTCAATGATAGACATGGCAAGAAATGTGTAGCTCTGTGATGAGCTATTAGTTCTTTAAATTAGTGGTTTTTTTCCCCCGAAGTGTCTTGACATTGTCAAAAATACTTGTTTAGGTGTAAGTAATATGAAAAAGTACACACAAGCTAGTGTCTACTACAAAGAAAATAACTCATCCAATTTTTATTTTTATTGTGTAATATTCTCCTTGCAGTGGTTTAATAAGGTCATCTGTGTTAATAAAAATTTCCTACTTTTGTTGGTAAGAAAAATTTCTTATAAATTAAAAATTTGTGTAATATCTATTTTCATTTATAACTTTATGTAGCTAAGTTACCTGCTTGCTAATAAGCTAAACAGAAAAATGCTATCTTCAAATTTTTCTTCATAATGGAAATATTTTTATTAATCACCAAAGCATATATACATAAGTATCAAGGAGAAAAATGAACCAAAGATTCTAGAGATTAAGATCTTTTAAATGTCTGAAATATTTTGAAAATATAAATTAATTTTTTCATAACTGCCCTCACTGATTCCTGAAAGTGCTGCTTTTTGTGTGTGGTGCTGGGGTCAAACCCAGGGAATCGTGCGTGCAAGGCAAGAACTCTACTACTGAGCCACAGCCCCAGCCCTGATTGCATATAGTTTTAATGTCAAGTTTTTATGTTCTTTTTTAATGTCAAGTTTGTTTATTTAGTTAGTTTACAACTACTAAGTATACATTCTAACATATGTTAAGGTGAAGGGTATGTATGTGTACATGTACATTCTACGCTGAGTCCAAATATTTGCTCACGTTTGATTTTGCATGCTTAATTAAAGTCTTCCCAAATTTGCTGATTGAATATGAAAAAAAAATTGATTCACAGATAGAGCTGGTTTTGTTTGGATGAAATTCATTTGACTAGCGTGTAGCCTAGTGGTGATTTACTTGGCTAATCACTGATGAGATTACAAATAAGCAGGTTACGTACCATTCTCAGCAGAATTTCTGATGTGAGCTGTATCTTATAGTGTCAGAGCTGCTAAGAGAGGTAGAAGAGATTAGACTGTTTAGCTCAAACTTAATTTGAACTTGCAGAAGTTGCGGCTTCTCCACATAAGATAGCTAATTAATGGGAGAACTGGAACCAAGGTCTTCAAATTCACTTACAGCTTACCTGTTGGCTGTCTCCACTCTTCCACTGCCCCCACCGCCACCTTACCTCTGTTGCCTGAGGAGTTTTTCTTCCTGCTCTTGGAAGACAAGGAGAAGGCAAGGCAGTGGGAGTAGTTTGGTCTGATCAGATCTTTCTAAAGCCATCTACATGTGATGTCCTCTTCTAGTAGCTCAGAGCTCTCCAGTAATCCACACAGGATGGAGTAGTGCTGTGTGTTGGCCTCACCTTTGCTGCAGATTCACAAAGAACTTCTGTCCTTGTCCCTACAGCTTCTGTTGCAGGCTTCCCCAGACTAAAGTTACTGTGTGTCAGACATTAAATCAAGGAGTTTTATCCAATGAACCCTTTGGCTGTAGTCATAGAATGTGGGGGAGAAGGTAAGATTCATAGTCTTAGGATGAGGAGGATGTTCTCTGCCTTATTCTTTCACATCTTTCTAAATCATCCTCCTTCAGGCACTTTTAGTTTTTGGTATTAGTTTTTTTACCACCCACCTTCATGGGAAATTCTGTCCCTACATTCAGAAGGTGGATGTGCCCTCATTCAGCGTTGTCTGCGCCCTCATTCCTTTTTATGTCAAGACTTTGGCAAGGTGCTGTTAGAAACTTCTCCCCTTATTCCCTGCCTGCTTTGAAAGGGTGGGAAAGCGGGCTTGAGAACTAGCGGTGAGATTGTTTATAGAGGTCTGATTTCAGTTCTTTTCACAGAAGAGAGCTTCACTTGCTTCCTAAGGCTGTGTCTAAGGTGATACAGCCTAGCTTCACATGAGAAAAGCATAGTTTTTTCTTAACATCATTTTTGCCCTATTCAGAGTAGTAGTAAGATAGTTATTGAGGAGTACTAGCATCATACTAGTTTTTATTTTAATAATTCACAAATCGGCTTACATTCTAAAATTTGTAACCACCCGTACCCCTCAGCTAAAATTGGGTCTGTCTGAGCCATTGTAGAAGATGGGCATCTACTCAGTATGCGCTCCCTCTGCTGTCCACCACTATGGGGGTAGACAGTTTCTGCGTACTAAACAGTTACCTAGAGCTGAGAAAGATTGCTTTCACTTTCAGGACCATAACTTACATGCTGCAGTCTTTCTTACTACACGCAGATTAGATGTTTGCAACACGAGGGTGACTAAGATACACGTGGATCTACCAGAGGTTGCTGTTCTGGAAGTTCTTTAATTAAAAGAGAAATGATTGCCAGCTTTTCCCTGGACCTTCTCGTAGCCTGCACACACTTGTTGTGTTGTTGTTGCTGCTGCTGTTGTTGAATGCAGTTCCTTGATGTCTGGTCCCCTTAAAACTGCTGGCCTTTGTGCCTGCTTCCGTTCTCAAGCACATGAATTGAGTAGGTTCTGATAGCTTTTGATCATCCACTCACTCTAAACACTTTGAGTCACCTTCCTGTTGATTAACTCTTCTGAAAACCACCCAAGTCATTTCTTTTCTTGTTTCTCGTCCTATTTGACCCCACACACGGAGCCATCCTCCTTCTCACTGGCCTTGTCATGTCCGCTTCCGTCTTCCTAACAACAGCGTGTTCCGTCTTCTCCAGTTTTCTTTCTCACCATCCCCGTGTGGAGGTCGTGCTTCCAAGGATTTATTGTTGACACACTGCTTCTCTGTTAGAAGTTCTTTCTCCAGCTGTAACTTAGGTGCCTAGGATTCTCAGAAATACTTTGAAAGGTACAAAGTACAGGATTGCTTTATTATTAAGTCATGTATCCCTTGCTCCAGTATCTGTCTTGAAGACATTCATATTTTTCAGTGCTTTGTCTTTTTCCTATTGCTACTAATTTAGTTCAGGTTTTATCATCCCAAAAGCTATTGGGACTTTTCTAACTCAGTTCTTTGTTCTTTCTAAATATATTTTGCATACTTCTTCAAGACTACTCTCATTGCAGCACAGCTCCTTGCCCTGAAATCTTGCGTTGGCTTCCTGCTGTGTACAGAAAAAAGCCGTTAAGTTTTAACCTGGTATTCAGGGTCTTTGATGATTTGGTCACAGCCCAGTTTTTCAGTTTCCTTTCCTGCCACTCCCTTCACTTGATTCCTTATGTGTCTCCCTGTCCTTCAGTCATACACTTCTCTGTTAGCATGCACGAAACGGTAATACAGCAATGTGTTTGTTTGTCTGCCTAAGACATGTTCTTGGTGGTGTGTATACTTTGGAAATGTTAGCATCTTTCAGTAAGCCGTACTGTTATATATGGTTGAATTTTATAGTATACATGGCAGTAAAAACAGAGCATTAAGTCCCTGTCTTTAGAAACCAGCCACCCAGCAGGTAGCTAGGAAGTAATTTTTTAACCAGAGAGTGATCCTTTCCCCCAAGAAGCCCTTAAAGATGCCCAATCTTGTCATTTATCTTATTTCTGTCCTGTGAAATACTTTTTTCATTTCATTTAACTGACCATTATGTTTAATTTCAGGCTCTTGATGGGTTTTTTTTAGCAATTATGACAGATGGAAGTATAATATATGTGTCTGAGAGTGTAACTTCATTACTTGAACATTTACCAGTAAGTATACAAGTCCTGTAATGTCTTTGTTATTTAATGCCTGCTTTAAATCTTTTAAAGCACTAGGAAGTGAACCTTTAGTACAGTGTTGAATGATGCCTGACAAGTAGGGATGAAAACTCTCAGGTATGCCTTTGCTTTTAGCATTGCTGTATTTTTTCTGATCCACTGTGACTACCTAATATTCAGCTACCACCTGAAGAACCTCTTGCTCTTCCCTTCTTCATTCTAACGCTCACTTGTTAGTGTTTCCTTTTTAATTGGTCTCATGAAGATGCTATAACCCAGAATATCTTGAGAATAACTACATTTCCAAAAGATACTTGTTGCAGATAGGAGAACTCATACATAATTTTCTCAAAAGAATGAATTGTAATAACACTAAAAATAATTGACCCAGACTTTGAATCAATTGTAGGAAAGTGGATGCACCTTGAAACCATAGTGTTAAGTGAAATAACTCAGGCACACACTTAACTATCACTTGGTTTCTCTTATATGAGAAATACAAAGTCTAAAAATAAAGATGGAAAAGAGAATACAGACATACAGAACTTTTACAGAAGGGGAGAAGACCAAGAAGTAGATGGAAGAGAAAGGGGATTAAAAAAAGAATTAAGCCAGGCGTGGTGGTGCACGCTTGTAATCCCAGCACTCGGGAGACTGAGGCAGGAGGATCGTTGTGAGTTTGAGACCAGCCTGGGCTACAAAGTGAGCTCAAGGCCAGCCTGAACTGCAGAGTGAGACCCTGTCTCAAAAAGACCAAAAAAAGAAAACATCAAATTAAAAAAAAAAATTAAGATGTGCTATACACATGTACCAGTTCCCCATGGTGAATGTAATTGTTACATACCATAAACATGTACTAATAAAAATTTTAAAAATATTTTAAAGGATAATAAAGTAATGGTCATATTCAACTCATTTTCGGTATGACCAAAAAGACATAAAGAATTAGAAATATATTTTGTACAATTTTGAGTAGGGTGATGAATACCTGAATTGAATTTTTTTTTACTCAGCATGTATTTATTGAACATCTGTTCTATGCCAGACACTGTGCTAAGTGCTCTGCTGCAGTTGATGGTTTTAAAAATGAATTCCCGGGGGCTGGGGATTTAGCTCAGCGGCAAAAGCGCCTGCCTTGCAAGCGCAAGGTCATGAGTTCAGTTCCCGGTACCAGAGAAAAACCAAAAAAAATAAAAAATAAAAAATAAAAATAAAAAAAAAATAAAAATGAATTCTCGGGGCTGGGGATTTAGCTCAGCGGCACAGCACCTGCCTGGCAAGCGTGAGGTCGTGAGTTCGATTAGGTACTGGAAAAACAAACAAACCAAATAAATAAATAAATAAAAATGAATTCTCAGGTTTGGGAACTGTGGTATAAATATTCTTATATCATTTATAAATTATTCAAAATGCCTTCCTTTTGAAAAATTGTAACAGTGCAAAATAAACCCACAATGAGATTCTGAGAAGCAGTATCTCCTTCCTTCTGTTTATTCTCCTGGGCAACTCTTGTTAAAAACAAACTTGGGGCTGGGGATTTAGCTCAGCGGCAAAAGCGCCTGCCTGGCAAGCGCAAGGTCGTGAGTTTGGTTCCCGGTACCGGAGAAAAACCAAAAAAACAAAAACAAAAACAAAAACAAACAAACTTGTATAATAAGAAAACCAAGGGTTTAGAATCCTCTATTTGATTAAATATTGATAACAAGTAAATTGCATACTTTTAAACCATAGAAAATTGTATTGTTTTTTCTTTCAATTACATATTTGTAGAAACTATATAATTTTTTATTTAGTAGTGGTATACCAAAAACTAAAAGTGTCTTAAGGAGGATTAGAGAGATGTGAAAAGAACAAGGCAGAAAACATCCTCCTCATCTCATGCATCTTATCCTCTGCCCATGTTCTGGGACTGACGGGAAAGGGCTCATTAGTTAAAACTTATTCTTCTGAGTTATTAACTGTCTGAGCCACAATGATTGATTGTTACATGATGGCAGTAATGGCTAATTTGAAAGGGTCAGAATTTTTGTACCTTGTACCTAAGAATATAGTTGTTTAAAAATATTTTATATCCAAGTTGGGCATGGCACTGCATGCCTAATCTCAGTACTCTGAGAAACTGTGGTAAATTTGAACCCAGTCTGGCAACTTAGTAACTTAGCAAAGCCCTGTCTCAAAGCATAAAAAGGGCTTGGGATGTAGTTAAGCTGAAGGCCCTTGGTTCAAACCCTGTACTGCCCAAAAAATCCAAAAATATATCTGATGTTCTTTCAAGGGAGCCTTGAGACTCTCAAAGCAACTGTTGTTTGTAGGAGTCATTTGTTTAACTGTTTGTCTACCTAAAAAATAATTGCAGTAGTTATAAGTTACACTAAATGATAACATTAAGCTAATTAGAAATGTCACACAACTAAATCAGTAGGATTTGTATTTCCTTTACGTGAACATGATTGAGGGTAGCTGGGTACAGTGGCGCATTCCTGTAATCCTAGCGTATGAGAGGCTGAGACAGTATGATCATTGAGAGTTCAAGGCCAACCTGAACTGCATAGTGAGACCCTGTCTCAAAGAAAAGAGAAAGACAGACAGACAAGGGAAGAAGGGAAGAAGGGAGGGAAGGAAAGAAAGTGATGGAGGAAAATGAAAAGATCCAGATAGCTACCACTTGCTTTTCGTCCGTCTGGCTTTTCTCTGGGAACTGAGTAAACGTCACAGCAGCAGCAGGGCTGATCCGCCTCACGTGGAGACTTCGGGGAGGCGATGTTGCATAGAGTGACGCGGGGCAGAGCGGGAGGAGCGGTGCTGAGATTGTGCTCGTGATAGGAGCCGTGCGTATTTTCTCTCCGTGTGTAGGAAACATCCTGTAAATTTATAGCTGCAAAAGAAAGGCTTTAAGGTTGAATCATAATTTGTTGAAATAGTAGAAGAAACAGTAGTCATTCTCGATATGAAACTTTTAGTTATTTCACGTGTTTTTTATTTTTCTGTCAGTTTTTGCATTGTTATCAGTGGCTGTATTTTGGTACTTTAGTGTCAGTAAGACAACTGTTTAGCATTTCTGTTATTCATACCTAATTTTTAGTTTATTCTGGAAGCTTTCCATATTTCCAGAAGAATTCCTTGTTAAAATATTGTTACCTTGGTGTGGCTACCTCTTAAGCCATTATCAAATAACTCTCCAGTCCAAAATCAGTTGTTGTACTGATAACTGTTACATGCAAGGACCAAGGTTAATGTGCCTTGATTGGAAGGGAGGAAGAAAAAGGTGTTCATTTATGGGGCAGCAAATAACAAATGCTTTTATGGAAAAAGAGATTCTTGTAATGAGTGCTACAGGGATTTTTTCTTATTTTGGATTTTTAAGTTAAGGAAATGTTTGTTTGAGGAAATTATTTGAAAGATGAAGGATAGAGTTTTGTGAAGGTTGGGAAGGGCTATCTACTTCCTGAGGCAGAGGTTGAGGGCTGGAGAAAAGGTAGAATGAATGTGTGGCTTGTGAGTAGTGACGTACCATTCCTCACCTTCCCCATCGCAGTGGCACCCTTTCGTTGTTACTATTTTGGTGTTGAAGCAGTGGCATTGTTTGCAGATGTATAAAATAGGGGCACAGGACTGTGGAGCTGCTTTAGTTGAGTGCAGCCCTGCCTTCGTTTCCCTTGCCCTCCACTGCCCTTGAGACAGTACTTCAGCATCCCTAAGACTCCACAGAGCACTTTGGAGAGAAGTCAGGTGGAGTAGACTGGACTCAGTAGGAAGTGTGAAGTCACCAGAGTTTCATGTTACTCACAGGGACAGGAAGTACTATATAGCCATCTTCGATTCCAGGGCTGTCCTGTAGTGTAGGCATCTTGACAGCTGTCACATTGCCGCTGATTAATGAATCTTGATTAAAGCCATGTGTTATGAATTATGCTTAACATATTAGTTGCACTTTTTATACATGACTTTTTGACAGCGGTTTATAGTATAAGATAGATGCTTAGAAAGTGTGAAATAAAAATGAAAGAACATGTTAGACAGTTGAAGTGTCTCCAAAATCAAGTATCTTCTTATTTAGCCTGTTGCTAGTCTTTTGTAGTCACATATGCCCCATTGTTCAATATAGGTTTGAATAAATTTTAAGGTTGTGCCTTGTAGCCAATTAACTCTCTTAGCTCAGTTGTATTTTAAAATGTTTAAATTTGGTGAAACTCAGCTTCGCAAATAATATGTCAGGCTTTCAAGATTATATTGATCATGAATCTGGTAACACTGGTATAAGAGGCACCTTTTAACTTCTCAGTCTTGGTTTTTAAGGATGTAATCTGTAACTTGGTATGTGTTGGTTTTCATAGATGATTGAAATTTAAACGTGTGCTCCTCTGTTGTGTTAACAGTGAGTATACATTTTTTAAATGTCTCTTGAATTACTAAATTATTTTATTTTTAAAAATTTCTTTTTCAGTCTGATCTTGTGGATCAAAGTATATTTAATTTTATCCCAGAAGGGGAACATTCAGAGTTTTATAAAATACTCTCTACCCATCTGCTGGAAAGTGATTCATTAACTCCTGAATATTTAAAATGTAAGTAGTGGCTGTTAAGCAAAAATCCAAATGTTGTATTAATCCAAAATGTTGTATTTAAAATTATCTTTTACTTTTGAAAGATAATGAAAAAGACATTCTTAATTAAAATACAACATTTTTTCATACCCTACTAGGTGCTTTTTATTTTTTATTTTTTATTTTTTGGTTTTTTTCTCCGGTACCGGGAACCGAACTCACGACCTTGCGCTTGCCAGGCAGGCGCTTTGCCGCTGAGCTAAATCCCCAGCCCCGCAAGGTGCTTTTTAAACATTTAAAAAAAAAATTATTAAATGGAAGTGTGTATATTAAAAGTCTAAAATCTGTTCCAAACTGTACTGAAATACCATGTTTATTATAATAAATGCAAATAGTTGTGCCATAATGATGCCATACATTGCACAGAAATGGAACCTGGCATTGTATTTTTAATTTTTAAATATTATTATATTTAATGGGAGAAAATTAAACAGTCTCATGTTCCTCATTGTTAACCAATTGGGCACTCACTGTGTAGGGACAATTTCAGTATTTCTTTTAAAAATATTAAATAAAAAGAAAAGTTATTTATTAAGCTGAATTTAAAAATCTCTTATTGGATATATCTAGTGTGCAGGCACTTGTGTTATATTATTAAAAAGTACCAAGAATAGTGCACAGTAGTCCCTGTGGCCAAGAAACCCAAAACACTGTGGAATCATGACCCACCTGCACTTCACTGGGCAAGTCAGTTTGATTAGAGCACTTTGTTTTCTTCAGTTTCATGCTATGTTAAATTCAGAATTGTTACATCACTTTTTGGCGATTAGCTATTAGATACCTTTTATCATTTTTCCATGGTTTTAAAATTCCACTCTTTCTGATAATGGCATTAATACTCTTGGAGGTTCTTTGTATTAATCCTCACATTCTATAGTGTACTAAGATTTGAGGTACATGTACTTAGCACACAGACATATAAAACTTACATATGGAAGTTTATATGTATGTATATCTGTGATATGAATGAATAATCTTTTAGGAGGAGTTAAAACCTAGAGACCGGGAGAATCCATTTGGAGCTCTTGCCTTGTATAATTGTTTATAATGAGGTTTGCATGACATTGACCAATAGGCTGTTCAAATCCAGTACTGAGGAGAAAAGATTTCAGCTGTGTATAATAGACTTACAAGGCTGTTATATGCCTAGTCATATTCAGAGTCATGGATTGAATTGCTTGAGTAATTGAGGTTAATATGTAGAGTAAGGAGAGAAGAACTGGGAGTTGGGACCCTAAGAGATCTCAACAGGTGGACAGAGGAGAAAGAGTTGGCTTTAGGGGGCAGAATTTTGACTGGAGAACTTAGTCAAAGCCTCTGGTGTACTGGGACACTGAGGCAGGAGGATCATAAGTTTAAGCCTAGTTTGGGCAACTTAGGGACTTAGCAAGACCCTGTCTCAAAATAAACAAAAGCTGTAGCTCAGTGTGAAGGCCATAGATTCAGTCCACAGTAAAAACAAAACAAAACAAAACAAAAAACAGAATGCATCTGGCAGAAAGATAGACCTTAGGCTTCTGCTTCCAAAATCAGAGGTGAGGATAACAACACTATTTTTTGGACAGGAAAAAGAATCTTAGTTGAATGACTTGCTAATCACTTGGTTAAACAACCAATGCATAAATGTTCTCTCCCGTCAAAAAATTCCATGCCAGAAGAATAAACACAAGTTAACACACAGGGGAAATTGCTTGGAAATTGCTGTAAGTCCTTTTGGCCAAAATGAAAATGAGGTGGTACAGATGATATAATTTGGGTTTAGAGAAGGAAGTAGGGTTATAAAGAGGTACTGTCTCACTCTATGGAGTTTAATTTTAATTTTTTACATAGTGGAGAGCCAGTGAAGAGCTGAGTGGTTTTATAGTGTGGGGAGAAAAGTGCCTAGGGTGGAAACTTTGCATAAAGGACCATACTGGGGACAAAAAGAAAAATTGTACGTGAGGATGGAGAGGAAAGTATGTGAGTGCTAAGTAAGTCAGCGCACTAAAACTTGCTGTTAGACACTGCTGCCCACATCTGGGAGGATTTGGGGAAGATGCTGATAGTTGGATTTCAACCTGTTGAATTGATGAAACCATCCACTATGCCAGTGAAAGAAGAGCTGGGGCCTGATGTAGTGAATGAAGGAGCTCCTAGGCCTGGAGTGGAGAAGGAGTGTGATGAAAGTGTTGGTCGAAGAACAGCAGGCGAGGATGAGTCAGAGGCAGGAATGCGGAGGCATAAGGAGTCAGTGTTGTTCTGGAGATGCAGGACCATTTGTGATTGTGCTGTACTGGGTTGATGATACTAAACGCTTAGTTGGAAAAAATGACTTAGGAGAGTTTCCTTGGTGAAATAAATACCAGGTCTTAGTGACAGATTCGTTTGGGATTTGTAATGGGAGCAGAGATGCCAAATCAGCACGAACAGAGGGTAGAGATACGGAAATAAAAATATGTGAGGCAAAGGGGAACAACTAACTTAGGAAGAAAGAGATAAATTCACTTTGAGGTACTTTAAATTTAAATCACTAATAGGACAAACAAGTGGAAATGTCCTGAAAGCAAATAGGAGTACAAGACTGTGTCTTATGTAAAATGTTAGAGTTGGGAGAGATACAGGAGGTAATAAGCTAAGACTGATCTACAGAGGGTGGCAGAGGATCAAGATAAAAGGACCTCTGTTAAGCCACTAATTTAAAGATGGATTACCAGAAGAGATAGGGGTCATCAGAAGGTAGGAAGGCAAGTACGTGTTACGGAAATGAAGTATGAATTTTAAGAAGAGCTGGAAACGGAGGAAGAATTATTGAAATTGCCAGTGGAAGTGTTAGCTGTTACAGAGGTGTGAGGATGAAGTCCACAGTACATGACATTCAGGGCAATGAGCTCACAGAAACGAGTACATACTGGAAAGGGAGGAGGTCTGTGATACGGGAAAGATTAGCATGATAGTGCTTGGTTGGAGATGGAAAACCCGAGTAAATGTAAAATAGTAAAAAATAAGGATCCAAAAAGGAGAATTTGTAGGTCCTAAAGGAGTGCGAGTGGCATGGCCCTGGTCTCAGAGAAGATGGGAAAGCCTGTCCTCAGTGGAGATGGGGGAGCCAGGTGTGGACTGGGAAGGAGTAGCTTTCCTTGAAATTTTTGTGAAGAAAGCGAAGGAAGGCTGCAGGACAGTGGAGAAGCAGTGAGTCGCTCACGTAAGGTGACTTTGTCTGCGAACTGTACCGTACGTACTTCCATGACCAAGGAAAGTGTCTTTCATTGAAGACTTCCGCAAACAACTGTGAACGTACCCAGCTCTTATACTCTTGCTTCGTGTGATACGTCACAGATAAATGATTTTTTTTACCACCTTTCAGCAAAAAATCAGTTGGAATTCTGTTGCCATATGCTTCGAGGGACAATAGACCCAAAGGAGCCATCTACTTACGAATACGTGAGATTTATAGGAAATTTCAAGTCTTTAAACAGTGGTGAGTTGAATTGCTGCTTTTACAGTTGTAGCTTGGCGTTTCTCTCGGCTCGTCACGTAGATATGTGAATGTGAGTAAAACTAGGTTTTGCTGGAATTGCTGATGACACATACTTCCTTTCTGTTCTAGTTTCCACTTCAGCACATAATGGTTTCGAAGGAACCATACAGCGTACACATAGGCCTTCTTATGAAGACAGAGTTTGCTTTGTAGCTACTGTCAGGCTGGCTACACCTCAGTTCATCAAGGTATGTTTCTAATTTTAATTGCTCAAAGGGAATTGTACTCATACTTGGAGAACTGTCTTTATGTAACTTTTTGTTGTCTCCAGAAAGTCTGAAACTCCCTGCAGACATTGAAGTAGTAGTGGCTGTGAGTCGTTAAGATATGCATGGGGAGATACTTTCGAAACCATGAGTTAAGAGAGTACTTGCTAAATATAGCTGATTTTTAGTGTATATCCTTTACAGTTAACCAGTGGTTATATATAAAATCATCACCCTACTTTTGTGCAGAATTTTAGGGTGCTTTTGTGTATTATTCACTTCATAAAAGGAAAAAAGTTTAAAAAATACAATTTGAAATGTCCAGGTACATTTTACTACTTACAGTTTACTTAAAAATTTCAAAATTTAAACGATGTGGGGATTTTTCCCCTTGGAACCAACAGGCAAATGATTGATTTTTAAGGAGGTGGGAAAATGAAATACTGAACAGTGGATGGCAAGGCTACGATCTAAAATTTGGGTGGCAGCACGGTATAGGATGAAGTACCTACCGCGTTAGCAGTTAGAAGCTCTTAAAGCATTATTTTGTTCTGTTTTGTTTGTAGGAAGTGATATATGTGACTAACATGGCAGCACGTATTATGCGCTGTACACTCTACGTGCATTTTAGTTTCCATAACAGCTGTATGAGTTAGATGCTGTTATGATCCCTGTTTTATATACTAGGAAACCCAGACTTAGGGAAGTTGAGAAGTTGCTTGCCAGAAGTATAACCTGTTACATGACTGAACTGGGGCTTGATTCTGATTTCTTTTCCTTCGTGCCTCAGCTCTTTGCTGTCACACTGTGGCGCAGGGGGTCATTTGAGGATACAGACTACAGCTGTGATACATTGTTTAGTATGACCAGAATCTAGGGTTCCTTCAGGTAGCCAGGAGAGAGATACTGAGAAGTCAAGTTAGGAAAGTAATGGCTAGCCATATTGAAGATTTTTTTTCATGTATTTATGGGCCATTTGTATTTCTTCCCAGAAGTGTCTGTTCACTTCAATTGCCGGTTTTTTTACTGAGTGTTTTGTTTGGGGGAGGGGGTCCTTTTTTTGTGGTTCTTAATATATTCTAGATATTAGTGCTCTGTCTCAATTGTAGCTGACAAAAATTTTTCCCATTCTGTGGGTGGTCTCTGCATCCTGTGGGTGGTTTCCTATGCTGTGCAGATGCTTTTTAATTTGATAGGATCCCATTTGTTAACTCTTGCTGTTATTTCTTGTGCAGTTGGGTCCTATTCAGAAAGTACTTTCTCACACCCATGACTTCAGGAGTCTTACTTACTTTATCCCCAGGCACTTAAGTGTTTCCATTTTAACATGTAGATCTTTGATTGATTTTTAAGGCAGTCATCAAGAAAGCAAATAAAAAGTATTGGGAGATGGTGGTGAAAAAGGAACTCTCCTTCCCTGTTGGTGGGAATGTAAACTGGTACAAGTATTACGGAAATTAGTATAATTCCTCAGAAAACTAAAACCAGAAATTCCATTCAACCCAGCTTTCTCCCTGTGTTCCTGAAAGTATTAAAATATTTTCCCGAAAGAGTTAAAGAGATAGTATTACAGTGATACATACATACCTGTGTTTATAGCAGCCCAATTCATAATAGCCAAATCTTGTAAGCAGCATATACGTTCAACAGCAGACAAATGAATAAAGAAAATATGGTACTGCCAGGCATGGTGGCACATGCCTGTAATCCCGGCACTTGGGAGGCTGAGGCAGGAGGATCATAGCAAGTTCGAGACCAGCCAGGGCTACAAAGTGAGCTCAAAGCCAGCCTGAACTGCATAGCCAGACCCTTTCTCAAAAAGACAAAGATAATGTGGTACTTACGCACAGTGGAATACTACTCTGTTATATGAAGAATGGATTCAAACCTTTTGTAGGAAATTGGATGGTCTTTGGAAACATGTTAAGTCACATAAATCAAACCCACAAAGTTAAATACGATATGGTTTATTTCAAAGTATAAGTAACGAGCAAAATAAAGATATCTGTAAAGATAGATACGAGGCAAGAACGAGATACGTGTGCTCCAAGTGGAAGCGGGACCTGGAGATGAGGAGAGAGGCAGTGTGAAAAGGGTTAGGGCGTACCGTGCGCATGTGTCAAATGCCTGCGGTGAGAGCCGTCCCTGTGTAGTGCAGACATGTGCTCCTAAATACGTATTAAAAGGGAAAAAGCAAAGGCTAGACATGACATTTGTTTCCTTCTCTGTGAAGAGAGCTGTAGGTTTTTAAAAGTGAAGTCATATCATGTCTAAGTAACGTGTAAAATGAGAAGTGCTTACTGTAAAGCTGCATTTCGGTGTTATTGCTGCATTTAAGTTTTTATTTTTAATTTGTTTTGTGGAAGGTGCTGAGAGGACAGAGAGCTTTGTGTATGTTAGGCTAATACTGTAATGCTTGGCTATATCCCTAGCCCACCGTATTTTTTAGTAGCAGGAAATTAAAGTGTACTAAAAATGTACTAATGTAAAAGTCACCTACTTTAGTAACCATCCCCACTTCACCCCCATACTGGGTATTAAATAAAGGGCTTTTGCACTGAGCTCCACCCCAGGCCTCTGGTTAATGCTCTGCGTTGGGGACGGTGCCTCCCCGAGCCGCCCAGGCTGGGCTTGCCCTTGGCAGTCCTCCTGACCGTGCCTCCCGGAGTGCTGAGGTTGCAGGTGGGCCCTAACAGTGGTTTTCACGTCGTCATGTTTATGAGTCTCCTAAGAGCTGGGGAATACCTTTAATTTTAATTGTTAATTTATTTGCAGGAAATGTGTACGGTTGAAGAACCTAACGAAGAATTTACCTCTAGACATAGTTTAGAATGGAAGTTTCTCTTTCTAGATCACAGGTAACTTCATTTGTAAATTTCATGAAATGGTAATTACCATATGATTCTTCAAACTAAAGGCTTTCAGGACAACCTTTTTTCTCTAATCAGAACTTTCAAATCCATTATCCATTTTTCAAAAAATGAAGCCCACTCAAATTTATTTATCGGTGGAATGTTTCTTATGGAAAAATTACAATCTTGATTGTTTTACTATGTAATTCAGGGCACCACCAATAATAGGATATTTGCCATTTGAAGTTCTGGGAACATCAGGCTATGATTACTATCATGTGGATGACCTAGAAAATCTGGCAAAATGTCATGAACACTGTAAGTAGATTTTAATATTTTTGGTGATAGTGTCTTTTTCAAAATCATTTAAACAAAAATCTTGTCCTATGAATGATAGGCAGTAAAATACAGACTTATGACCATCTTTATAAATATGTAAAATAGAAGCAGGTTTAACTTAAATTGTATATATCAAAATACTCCAGTAAATTTTAAAAATGAAAAGTTTCCCAGATTAATGTAACCACAGAACTCGTTTTTCTCCTTAACATCTGTTAAAAACAACTTCAGAATGTAAGAGCTGCAGAGTGCTTTGTGAAATACTACACGTAGCAGTTACTTCCGACAGTGAAGTTATTCTGATTTTGGTGAAGGTTTAAAATTAAACGCCTCAAAGGTAGACCTGACAGTATGCGGGTGAGGGAATCTCCGATATTATTACTTCCTGTTGTTACCATCAGTACATCTAGGGAAGAGGAAGCCAGCAGTGCGAATCTTTGTGTATTTGGAAGTGTACTGTGTATGAAAAGTGTGAAATCAACAGTCACTGGCTATAAAGTTGGCCACTTGTGTAAGCCAAGTACAGTGATACATACCTGAACTCCCAGCACCGTGGGAGGCTGAGGCAGGAGGAGTGCAAGTGCAAGCCCAGCCTATGCAACTGAGCAACTTAGCATGACTTTGTCTCAAAATACTTAAAAAAAAAAAAAAAAAGGACTGAGAATATAGCCTAGTGCAAAGGCCCTGAGTTCAATCCTCAGTGCTGAGGGAAAAAAGTTCGATACTGTGGAAGATCTGATAATTGCTGGGGATCTTAAACTAGGTCTAAAGAATAGCATTTTCTTAAAATTGATGTTTTTGAAATGCCAGAATACATGTTGTATTATAGATTTAAATGTAAATGATTAGTTTTAGTTAAAAAACAGATTCTTCATAACTAAATATTGATTAAAGAAAAAATTTTTTTTCTTTTTAGTAATGCAATATGGGAAAGGTAAATCATGTTATTATAGGTTCCTGACCAAAGGACAACAGTGGATTTGGCTTCAGACTCACTATTATATCACTTATCATCAGTGGAATTCAAGGCCAGAGTTTATCGTTTGCACGCACACTGTAGTAAGGTAATAATGCTCTCAGAGAATTTCTGAAGTATGCTAACATCCTGTTAAATGATTTTGACATTGTAATTTTAATTCATGACTTAACTACAAAGTAATCTTTTTTTCAGTTTTTAATATATCCTTTCAACATGTTATTAAATTTATGTGTAGGTATTATATAGAAATACAATACAGGTAGTAGGCAGATACATACTTGATAAAAGTTTCATGTTTTACAGCAGAAGCTGTACTGTCCTTTGTATACAAACTCAGTCATGCAGAGAGAAAACTGGAGTAGATAAACATATTCTTCCTTTGTTTCTTCTTAATTTACCTGTTACATAGTTGTGGAATATTTATACTAGCATATAAAACTTTTAGATGCCTGGAAAAACGCAAATCGGATTAAGATAGTGTCCTGCAGAAATATTTTAGGTTTGTGTAGCGCATAGAAAATAGTCTGGAATTCGTGATGAACAACAAGTGAGACACCTAACAAACACTGAATTGTTGTAACTCTTCAGTATTTTTAAGTAAATAACCAAACACTAAAATTTGACTCTTTCCATTTGCAGTTATGCAGAAGTAAGGGCTGAAAGAAGACGAGAACTTGGCATTGAAGAGTCTCTTCCTGAGACAGCTGCTGACAAAGTATGTTTCTTCACCTTTAAAATAATGTATTTAATTTATTCCCCTGTGAAACACCGAACAATTGATAGGATTATTGTTAAAATACTTCATTTTCTCAGTTGTGACAGGGGTATGATTATACTTTACTGTTTGTTTTTATTTTTAATTTAATTTAAATTCTCATTTGCTTCTAAGAAAGAATTGAAGGCCCTGGCGTTTAGCAATAATCGGATGAGAGATACTTGTCATCTCAGATTGACAAGTACCATTTTTTCTGGTATGCAGTGCCTAATATGCTAGGCACTGGCTAGGTTCTTTATATGAGTTATGAAATGTGATTTACTCCCTGGTAGGGAATGTCCCAACTTAGAAAACGTTGAAACTGACCTCCCCTAAAGACATGCTGGGAAATTATAGTGGGAATTTGAACTCTGGTTCCTTTTTATTATATCCCATAGAAATAGTATTGGTTTTCTATTGCTGTGTGACAGATTACACCAAAGCAGTGATGTAAAACAGCACGCATTTCTCATCTAATAGTTAATGTGGGCTGGGGGTCCAGGCACAGTTCAGCTGGACCCTCTGCTGCTGGATCCATAACGAGGGCTGCAGGGATGGTGTCCCTGGGGACAGGAGTCATCTCTGTGTTCAGCTGGGGCAGAATTCATTTAGCGATTTCACTTAGCGATTGTTGCCTCAATTTTTTTTGTTTATTCATTTTCGTTGGCTCATTTTGTTCATCACAGGCAGCTGGAATGAGGGCCTTGATTTCTTGACGGCCAGAGGCCACCCTCCTCCCCGTCTTTCCACGTTACTGCTTCCAGCAGAGAAAACATGCGAGAAAATTCAGAGAGAAAATGCCAGTACAATGGGTGTTTGTTTGTGTTTTTAAGATGAGACAAATAATAGTGTGTTTTTATACGAGTAAGAGTGACGTGACGGGGAAGGAAACAGTGATGATGGGAGAGAGGGGTGGAACGCGAGAGTGGTGCGCTAGGGTAGGTGGGAGAAGGTGGGGCCTGGTACATAGGTGGAGGGTTGGCCCTCGGTGGGGGACACATTATTCAGCTACAGCAGGTTGACTCTTACCCTCTCACTGACTTTGTGAGGCCCATAATTTGCAAATTTTTTTGCATCGGAAATCAGAAGAATAATGTTTTATGACACACGAGAGGTATATTGCATTTAAATTCCAGTGTTCGTAAGTAACATAGCCATACTCAACTGTTCAAATATTGCCTGTAAGTTGCATTTGTGCTACAACAGCAGAGTTGAATAGTTGTGACAGAGCCTAAAAGTTGGACTCTGAAAGAGCCAGTATTATAGGAAGATTTGGCTGATCCATAATTTATGGCAACCCAGAGAAAGGTAACGAGAATATCACGTTTTCACAGTCACACTCACTTTGTGTCTTTCCCTCCTCTTGATCCATCATGAATCCATGCTTCATTATGGTAACCATACATACATCTTCAACTCCTAGCTCCCCTCGCCCTTCCCTCGGCACAATCTCATGCTGGTCAGCCCAGCTGGTAGGTAAGTAGGTAGAGTACTGGGAGCTTCTAGGAGTGCTGAGCAAGCTAGGAGCCAGTTACCAGCTCAGTGTCAGGTTAGGAAAGTTGCTGAAGGTTTGAGAAGAAAAGCAGAAAATGCTAAATGGTGTGTAGGAAAATAGGAAAGTGGATGTTGTAGGGATCTGCAGTCAGTCTCGTAGGCAGTTTAAGAGCTATGCGTTTCTATAGCATGAGTAATATGAAGCGAGGCTGTAAGTTGAGAGAGGAAGACAGATTTAAGAACAGTGGAGAAGGTACAGGATGGTTGTGAGGAGCTGGTCAGTGATGCCACCAGAAACATTCAGCAGTGCTGATCAGAAGCATGCAGCAGCACTGAGTGTCGTTTGAAGTTGGTAGTCCCTTCGGGGTGGCTGCGGTTGTTTCCGGCGGGGCCCTAAACAAGTGAGTTAGAAACAGGAGAGTGTAGCTTGCGGTGGCTCTTCACTGTCACTGCTGGAGGTGCTGCAGTGTTGCTGATGAGAAGACAGAGAGTGAGTGAGGTAGGGTTAGGAGAAGATGACTAGACACGAGTTCTTAGAAAGCGGAGAAGGCAAGGTAGGGTCCTGGAGGATTTGTCCAGAGAGTCTGACATTGTAGAGAAGGATCAGAAATGGAGTGGAGATTTTTGAGTAGTCAGATGCTGATTTCCAAAGATGTTTACAGTACTTTGTATATAAAGTGTTATCTTTATTCTGCATTTTTAGACTTTCCTTTTTTAAATATGGTAATAATACATGTAACAAAATTCCATTTCGAGGGTACAGTACAGAGGAGAAGTAAAAAGAATTAAATGCTTATGTTACGTACCAACTCCCCACAGTGAATGTAATCATTATGTACTGCACACATGTGTAAAAATGAGGGTGCAACTCATTGTCACTAAGTTCATTCCCACCATTGTACACCTGTCATCACTGCCCATGTCCAAAACTGTTGAATCTTCCTGCAGTGTAACTCCATACATACTAAAAACTCCTCATCCCCGTCTCCTCCAGCTCTGGGTAACCACCCTTTTACCTTGTGATTTTCAATGTGACTATGAGGTTGAACCTCCTTGGGTCGAGGGACCTGGGCCCGTGGTAAGCGGTGACACGGTGCAAAGAAGACACTGGAAACCAGGCTGATGGCGCAGATCTGGTTTATTGCACAAGTACCAGGCGTTTTATTGAGCAGGCTAGAGGCGTAGCAATGGAGGCGGGCTAGGGGCGTGGTTTGGAGGCAGTACTTTTGGCCAGGGGCTGTGCAGAAGTAAGAGGTCAGAGCGGGACAGCCTAGGCAGGGTGACTCACTCGGTGTGCCGAGTACATGACGAGTCCGAGTGTGCTCAGACTCGCTCCTCTGCCATGGCCGTCAACCAGACCTCTGGACCTCTCTTTGCCACATGACTATTCTGCGTAACCTTATAAAAGTGGAACTATACAGTATTTCCTTTCATAACATGCTTATTTCATTTGATATAATGTTCTCTTGGTTCATCAGTAGCATGTGTTGGAATTCTCCTTTTTTAAAACTAGGTAATATTCCATTCTTTGCATATGTCACATTTTGCTTATCTGTTCATCCACCAGCAGATTCTTGGGTGCTTGTCACTGTTTGGTCATTGTAAGTAATGAGACTGTGAAAACTGCTGCACAGATAACTGTTTGAGTCCCTGCTTTTCTTTCTTTTGGTTATATGCTCACATATCATAATTCCGTGTTTAATTTTGGAGTAACTGCCATACTACTTTCCATAGTTTCTGTGTCTTTTTTACCCCCAAAACACAAGAGTTTTAGTTTCTCACATCCTTGACAATACAAGTTACTTTCTGTTTTTTGCTTTGTTTCATTTTTGTTTACATGATAGCCATTCTAGTGGGCCTGAGGTCATACCTTGTTGTTATGACTTAGATTTCCCTTATCAGTGAGGCTGAACATCTTTTTATGTGCTCAGTGGTCATTTGCAATCTTTTTTAGAGAAATGTTTATTTTATCCTTCATCTATTATTATTATAAGTAAAAGAAGGAAAACATTAACAAACAGACAACCATTTACAAAACAGCAAAAGAACAATACAAACAATACAGAGTTACCAACAAAGTGGTAGGAAATTAACAATGCTTATTGTATTACATACTGATATCTTCAAAGTCGTTTCTCAGGAAAGCAAATAGAGGCATGCAATATTAATCAGTCAAGAAATCATTAATTCTTTCTTTCAGCAAAGAAATAGGAGACAGTAGATCAACTAGGTTAACTATCCTGTATATACATACAGAATTTCTCCTTCTTTCCCTTCTCTTTTCCCACATCCCAG